ACAACAAAAAGAACAGCTATAAATACATGTACATGTATGTCCTTTTCCCATTTTTATGATCTCTTTGGAATACAGCCATAGAAGTAATGTTGCTGGGTCAAAGGGTATGCACATTTTTATAGCCCTTTGGGCATGGTTCCAAATTCCTCTCCAGAATGGTTGGATCAGTTCACAACTCCCCCAACAACAGATTAGTGTTCCAATTTTCCCATATCTTCTCCAACATTTATCATTTTCCTGATTTTTCATGTTAGCCAGTCTGCTAGGTGTGATGTGGTACCTGAGTTAGTTTGATTTGCATTTTTCTAATCAATAGTGATTTAGAGCATTTTTTTTCACATAACCATAGATAAGCTTTAATTTCTTCTTCTGAAAACTGACTTCATTTCCTTTGACCATTTATCAATTGGAGAATGACTTGTATTCTTATGAATTCAACTCATTTCTCTATGTATTTTAGAAATGAGGCCTTTATCAGAGACACTGGCTGTAAAAATTGTTTCTCAGCTTTCTGCCTCCCTTCTAATCTTTTTTTTTTTTTTGCTTTTAGGCAATTGGGGTTAAGTGACTTGCCCAGGGTCACACAGCTAGTAAGTGTCAAGTGTTTGGTCTGAGGCCGGATTTGAACTCAGGTCCTTCTTCCTGACTTCAGGGCCGGTGTTCTATCCACTGCGCCACCTAGCTGCCCCACCTCCCTTCTAATCTTGATTGCATTGGCTTTGTTTGTATAAAAACTTTTCAATTTGGTGTAATCAAAATCATCCATTTTGCATTTCATAATATTCTCTATTTTTTGTTTGGTCATAAAGTCTTCCCTTCTCCATAGATCTGACAGGTAAACTATTCCTTGCTCTCCTAGTTTGCTTATAGTACCAGCTTTTTATGTCTAAATCATGTACCCATTTTGTCTTTATCTTGGTATAAGGTGTAGGATGTTGGTCTTTGTCTACTTTCTGCCATACTATTATCCAGTTTTCCCAGCTTTTTGTTAAATAGTGAGTTCTTATCCCAGAAGCTGGAGTCTTTGGATTTATTAAATAGTAGATTGCTATAGTCATTGACTATTGTGTCTCCTATACTTAACCTCCAATGATCCACCCACTCTATTTCTTAGCCAGCACCAAGAAGTTCTGATGATGGCTGCTTTATAATACAATTTAAGATCTGGTACAGCTAGGTCACCTCCCCTTGCATTTCCCTTCATTAATCCCCTTGATGTTCTGGATCTTTTGTTCCTCCAGATGAATTTTGTTATTGTTTTTTCTATTTCTATAAATAATTTTTGGTAGTTTGATTGGTATGGCAATGAACAAGTAATTTAATTTAGGTAGAATTATCATTTTTATTATATTAGCTTGGCATACCCATCAGCAACTCATATTTTTCCAATTATTTAGATCTGACTTTATTTGTGTGAAAAGTGTTCTGTAATTGTGTTCATATAGTTCTTGTTTTTGTTTTGGCAGGTAGAATCCCAAATATTTTATAATGTCTACAGTAACTTTAAATGGGATTTCTCTTTCTATCTCTTTCTGTTGGACTTTGTTAGTAATATATAGAAATGTTGATGATTTATGTGGGTTTATTTTATATCCTGCAACTTTGCTAAATTTGTTTATTATCACAAGTATTTTTTTTACTTGATTCTCTAGGATTCTTTAGGTATACCATCATATCATCTACAAAAAGTGATAGCTTTGTTTCTTCTTTTAGGCACCACTACACTTTCTTTAAAAATATAATCCTTATACATATATCTGGCCATGTCACTCCTCCTTTCCTAAATCTTCTATTGCTCCTGGACTGTGTCTTATCTAAATTTCACATCCAAGACTTTGCACAAAGTAGTAAACTCAATAGGTATTTACAAAACATTTTGAGTTTAATCTATTGAATTTGGTGTAGTAATATATTATATTAAACATACTTTATGATAATATAATATAATAAATATAACTTTGTTCATCTATCAGAAATATAAATCTGTTCCAATCAAGCATAATATAATAATGTGGGCCTAGCATTTGACATTTTTTTGTTATGTACCCTATATTTACTTAACCATAAACAAGTTTTATCCCCTTAGTAAAATGTAAGCTCTTAGAGGGCACAGGCTATCTCATTTTTATCTTTGAATTTCCAGTTCTAGGCACGGTTCCTGATTCTTAATAAATGTTATCGATGGATCAACTGACTTGGAAAACTTCAAAATTTAGAATGGGAAACGACCTGAAGAAGAATCTAATAAAATTCTCTTATTTTACATTTGAAAAAACTGGGACCTAGAGAGGTCAGATGACTTGCCCAAGATGACCAAAGTATTGAACAGCAGAGCCAGGCCAAGAGTGCTGGTCCTTTAATTCCCAGTTAAGTGTTTCCCCTGCACCAGAGATTCACATGCAACTATTCCATTTCTTTCTCTTCTTGGCAGACAGCCTGAACCCAGCTGCTAATCAGGAGATTCACTTTCAGACTTTTTTTTTGAATGGTTCTTTCCCCTAGTGTTTATCTTGCAGAGGGAGTGGCACAAATATCTGTGTGTTACAAATCAGGAAAGATCTGCTGCCTAGAAAGCCCTTCCCAAGTTGCATCTAAATAAATGCTTTGAGGTCATCATGTGAGAGCAAAGGAGCAGGCTTCTCATTTTACAGGTATAAAAACTGAGGGACAAAGGGTTCCTTCTCAGATTAAAAAGTAGGCTTCAGATGAAAACTCCCTAAAGATTCTATGAGATCACCAACCACTGGCTATCTTGCTGAAGTACACTATGCCCCTGGAGTCAGGAAAAGGTCCATGAAACCTGCATTCCTAAAACAATCCATTCACTGTGTCAGTCCCTTACTCTGTCGAATGACTCCCAAATGTCTCTGAGATAGTAAGAGTTGTTTACATTAATAAACTACTTTTATGGTTAATAAAACCCTATATATCCATGTCAGTTAATTTCATAGCAGGCATATTAGGTAAGAAGGATTGATAAGTATCATAACTTCTGTTTAGGCGTGAGAAGTCTGAAAATTGGAGAGGTCTAGCGATTTGTCCAAGGTCACCCAGCTAAGAAAGTGGTAGAGTTGGGATGGGAACATAACATTCAATACCCTTTTCTCTGTATGATGCTATCTCAAATTCAAGTTCCTCAATGTGCTTGTCAAGCTCTTCCACAATTTATACCCACTTTGGCTTTTTAACCCTATTTTCCAGTATGATATAATAGAAATATCACTAGACAAGGAGCTAGGAAGGAACTGGAATCAATTTCCACTTCTGACTGATCTTGGATAATTCAATTAACTTCTCTCTATGAGCCTCAGTTTCCTCATCTATTAAATGAGGATTTGATAGATTTACCTCCTGGATACCTCTGGGAATTGAGGTATTTACCTTTTGTGCTTGTTGCAAAGATCAGATAAAATAATACTGGAAGGTTCTTTATAATCTTTAACAGTACTTTTAATAGTGGTATCAAACCATTGACTGCATATAGCCTATGATACTCCCAAGTGGGGTTGGAAACAGATGAAAGCATCTCCTTTATGATTTTAATATATTGACATATTAATTTTTGTATACATACATATGTACACATGTACACACACATATACACACGCACACATAAGTATACATACATACACATACAGATGGGGTTTTCTTTTTTTTGGTGAGGCAATTGGGGTTAAGTGACTTGCCCAGGGTCACACAGCTAATAAGTGTCATGTGTCTGAGACTGGATTTGAACTCATGTCCTCCTGACTTCAAGGCCAGAGCTCTATCCACTGCACCACCTAGCTGCCCCAGATGTGGTTTTCTAAGTCATTATGTAGCCTGCAGGGATCCTTATGTACAGTTTGGTGGCCCTTGTTTCTATTTCAATTTGACACCACTACTTAGAAGGACCGAGCACATGTTTGCATTAATTGACATACCTGTTCCTTCTAGTGTTAAAGTACTATGTAAATATTAAGCATTACTGCTATTTACCTATACAAACATTCAGCTCAAGTGAGGCCAGTTTCATACAGGTCATGATCATTTCAATTTTTAATATCTTCATTCATTCTGTTTCTCTGTCCTGGAATATTTTTTCTCTTTTCTTTACCTTTCAAAGTATATTGAATACTCAAAGCTTAAGCTTAAGCCCCATATGGGTAATGAAAGTTTTTCAGACTATTTATTTTTTGTACCCCTAATTTTTAACAAAATTATATATGAACTTAGCCCTGCCATTATTTTGTGCATTTGTCTTGTACCTCAATGACTGTTAAGCCCTTTCTGGAGCTTACAAATGTGTGTGTGTGTGTGTGTGTGTGTGTGTGTGTGTGTGTGTGTGTGCACGTGCATGTTTGCTTCCCATAGAGAAGAGCAAAATGTGAGCTGGATAGAAACCTTACAAATCTGATCGCCTCAATTTTACAAATAAGGAAACTGAAGGACAAACTCAATGGCTTTTCTTCGTAGGGAAATATATATGGGGGGAGTAAAAAGAGTATTGAATAGACTGGGAGTTAGGAGACCTGTGTTCAAGTCATGATTCTATCACTAGTCATCTGAATGAGCCAAATTATAAATTTATAATATAAATTATATGATTCTAACAGAGCTAAGATTTGACCCCCAACTCCTTGTCCAATATTTTTTGTACAGTAGTACATGTCATGGTCCTCTTAATAAGCATGTGTTGCATTGAGACAGAAATGTTAAAGCTTTCTTTCATATGGAAGTTGCATCTCAGAAAAATGGAACTATTCATTATAAACTCTTTAGGAATGTGAACATGAATAATTTTAAAATGGCAAGTATATAGCACAGAAACATGCCTCTGTGAAGCTGCTAGACAAAACTGAAGACAACTGAAGTTGTTGATACTGTCATGTGAAAAAAATTGAAATTTGGCTATTGCCTCAGATGCTGCAACACAACAGACTTATTTAGGCAGCCATCAAGAAAATGAGGAAATTTCACAGACCTAGAAATGAGAGAGAGGTTGACCATTTTTAATCTACCTTTGCAAATCTTCTCATTAAATGGGATAATGCTTCAGGATTAGGGCACTCCAATTTCTTGATAATCTCAAAGCTTTGGTTAAGCTGTGCAAAGACATCTACCACAGAGCAAGAGAAGAGGGCATGGTCTGAAGTCTGCTGGAACTGAGAAAGGAGAAAACAGAAACCATTTCAATGAGCCGGCACATTTGAGACAGTAGATTCATTATTATTCATTAACTGCTGAATCTCATATCATCCAACTCCATCCCACAGTAATAAAATGCTTGCTTTAAAGCAGTCAATCTCTTCCACCTGAATTTGTTGTGGATCCAATAAAATAGGGAAGGTTTATACTACTTGAAATCTCTTTTTGCTGAATTAAGAACTTTGTTATATATCATTTCATTATTTGTCCTGGACAGGGGGCTATGAAAGGTGGTGTTAGAATATTGTAGCACATTCCTCAATAGTTACATATAAGCCAGAGGCAACTCATGCTCCTGATATTTGCTCCAAATGGATTGAAAAGGTCACTTGTCTACATCTTGGGATCTCAGCCAAGTTCTATGAGATTTCTAGGTTTAGGATTCTGGGATAAGGCCTTGGGAAACCAATGTTGTCTTTAGCTTCAGTCTTCAATTCATATTTAGGTTAATGACCATGGAAATTATGGTACCATCTTTCCAACTTATAGTCTTAGGGAGTTGCCTGGGACACTGAGTGGTTAAGTGACTTGAACAGGATCACACAGCCAGTACGTGTTAGAGGCAGAGCCTGAATAAATGTTTTTTCTGACTGAGAATAGCTCTCTATTCACTATACCCCACTGCCTTGTATAACTTAATCTTAAAGTAATAGGAGTTTTTCAGACTCATCACTAATCACTTAATTTTAATTCTCCATTATTGATAGAGGAATTTTCCTCTCTGGGAAATCTCTGTATGAATCAAATCACAGGTCTATTTAAAAAAAAGGCTTTTCTTGACAATGACCAATTTGAAAACAGGAAGTTAAACTTACTCCGTCTTTTTTGTCTCTTCCTAGCGCACCATGAAGAAACTCCATGGACACATCTTCATTTTCATCGAGCCACTGAATGACAAAAGGCTCAAACCATCTAAAAAACAAAACAAGACAAAACTTCATTTGGTTAACATTGGGGCCTACAAGAAACAATTCATTTGTACATAATTAAACTTTAAGGCTGTTTTTAATGGTTTTTTTAAGTGTGTTTTTAAAGTGAGTATACTCAAAATGGCAGTTGTAGCAAATTGAAACATTGTAAACTTATCAAATACCATTCTACCCCTTCTCCCCATGGGAAAGTTTTAATGGATTTTCTGAACTATTTTTTTTTAAATTACTATGAAAAATCTATCTAAATGCCTTGGTATGTAAGTACCTTGCCTAAATACTATGGCAAAGACAAGGAAACAATCTGATAGTATAAAGGATTTCATATATGCCCTCTCCAATTCCAGAGTAGCCTAAATTCTAGCTCTTTAGGAATTAAATTCATATTGTTAGTACCATAATCCAGTTTTCCCCTTCAGTCTGATCATCACTTTTAAATTAGACATTCTTCTGTGTGATTTTTAGTAAAAAAAAAAAAGGAACAGAAAAGACAAAGCAAAAACAACTATGAAAGACAATCAAGTAGCTGCGAATATTTGAAATCTATCCAATCAGAAGGAGACTATGAGAAAGGAACATTAGTGCTGGAGAACTCAAGTGAACTCGAGCTCTGTGTACTGAGAACAAAACTTAAGGGTGAAAAATCACTACTTACAAAGAGTATTCAGGAACAGCATCTTTGAAGGCTGAGAGCTCTCGCACATATTCATTATAAAACCATTTTACTTTGAAATGCAAATTCATATAATCGGTACTCTTGCATAACCGCTGCTTTTCATGTTCTATAACAGATAAAATCAAACATTTAATAAAGTTTGGGTTGCAAATAATGCTTTTTTTGTCACCATCTCTGTCTATCACTGCCTCTTTATCCAGCATTTGAAAAGAAACAAACCCATATATTTGATGTAAGGACAAGGTAAATTGTTAAAGACAAAACCAAAGTGTTTGCAAAATGCTGAAATGATCTGATGGTAAGTTGCATCTAACACTGCGGTGCCATAAGTCAAATACTCCTGTCTCTCAAAGAGTTGGCCATGAAGGGTGATAAGAGTAAAAAGAGAAGTAATATCCTAGGCCTTTTATATTTATCCCTGGACTTCCATGTTTTTATTCCTTTTAGACTGGTACAAAGTATCCTGGTACAAAGCACATTAGACAAGAGTTAAATGCATAATCATGAATAAAACATGAACCAACCTAGAAGCCATAATTGCTGATAGAAATTGGAGATGGGAATAAGTAGGCTCCATTTATCGAGTGGGTTATTTAATACCTAAACACTATGGTAGTTTAAAAGAAATTTACCTAACTATTCAGCCACACTATTTCTCTTTCACACTTAGGCCAAGACAAAAATATTCTAAAACTATAGAATTTTCAACGTTGTTATTACCATTAATTCTAATTTCTACCATCTGAAATACTTTTTTTAGATACCCCCAAAATAATTTAGCTTAAAAAGGTCACTCTAAAGTGAAAAAAAATGATGTTGGGGATATTGATAAAGTATGATGGTGGATCTCATGAACCTCTCAATACAACAGCTATGTTTCCCATGACCATAAAGCTTTGCTGCTGCTACCACCAAAGCAGCCCAAACCAGGTTCTTCGGCTGTGGCATACGTGTCACTAAGAAATTCTGGGGTTCTCCAAGAGGATTGTGTATTTAGGAAATAGAAATCCTAAAATGTTTTCTCGAGCAAATACAAACAAACCAAAACCTACTTTTTTTTTTTGTCTCTTAGATATGCAAGTAGAATCTAAACTCCTTGAGGGAAAGAGATGATTTATTTCTTACCTCTTTCTTTGATGATTCCTGACAAATAGTAGTCCCTTAAATACTTGTTGAATTGAATGGAATGTCTCCTTCCTTGCCTCTGGCTATTGGCTTCCCTAACTTCCTTCAAGTTTCAGTTTAAATACCAGAGGCAGCTAGTAGTGAAAAAAAAAAAAAAAAGAGTGCTAGGCCTAGAGTAGGGAAGACCTGACTTCAAATCTAGCCTCAGACACTTACAAGCTTGTAAGCTCTGTTTGCCTCAGTTTTCTCAACTGTAATATGGGGATAACAGTAGTCTCCACCTAATAGAATTGTTGTGAGGATTAAGTAGAAAATATTTGTTTTAAAAAAAAGTGCTTAGCATAGTAGGAGCATATATATATATATATATGTATGTATATGTGTACACACACACATATATGTGTGTGTGTATCTATCTATCTTACTACTAGTGCCTTCACTGAGAGAACACCTCCCATTTCCAGCACACATAGCTTGCATATACATAATTGTTTGCAGGTTGGCTTCCCTATTAAAATGGAAGCTCTTGAAGATGTGATATTTTCCTATTCTTTGTTTTCCCAGCACCTAGCCCACTGCCTTTCACATAGTAAGTGCTTAATAAATGCTCATTGACTGACAGAATTTAATTCTAACCTTCCACTTCCAACTACATTTTATGAGAGTAAGAAGTTTGTAGAATGAGCTAGATTTCAGTGTTAAATAAGGACATCTAAGTATTATCAATTTAAATTTTTGCTTTAATGATCAAAACAAAGATCAATCCAAATCAATTTACAAAATCAACTAATACTGAAGAGCAGAATTACCAAGATAATAGGATTTACCACCAAGACTTACCAGAAAGCAAAATCATAGAATCATAGATTTTTTGATATTTTTTCTATGAATACTACTTTATTTTTTCCCAATTGCATATAAAAATTTCAACATTCAATTTTTTAACATTTTGAGTTCCAAATTCCAAGTATACCATCATATCATTTGCCAAGAGTAAAGTTTTGTTTCCTCATTGCCTACTCAATTCCACCAATTTCTTTTTCTTCTCTTATTGCTATAACTAGCATTTATAGTACCGTATTGAATAATAGTCATAATAATGGGCATCCTTGCTTCATCCCTGTTCTTATTGGGAAGGTTTCTAGTATATGCCCATTGCAGACTGTTGATTTTTTAAAAGCATTTTTCCATTGAGACCCTCCCTCCTGCCTTCCCACTTCCCCCCTTAGGGCCACTTTGGTATGCCTCAATTCGCATTTTTAGCAATTTAATGTTCACAAGAACATCTTTGCCTTAGTAAGGAATATAAAAGAATAAAATAGTAATGGAGGAACTTCAGGCATTATTGGGGGAGATATTCTTCAAATCATATCCCTGATTATTCTAGCTCCTCTTATGAATAACCTGGTATAAGATGAACATAACCCTATTTTGAAATAAGGCATACCAATTCCTAGCCTAGAGCTCCAGCCTTTTTCTAATTTCTGTTCCCTGTTAATGTGTATTCTTGGTGATTGTCCTCAAGAATGAAGGACATGAACAACAATAACAACAACAACAAGAACAACTGTCCAGGTATCCCTTCCACACCATAGGGGTTAGGGGTGTGGTGCCCCTCTGATCTAGAAAATTTGTATAAACATTTTTGGATCTCCTTTTGTACCAGAGAAATCCGAATTATTATGGTATTAAAAATAAAATATGTTGATATTATACAATGCTATATTTATATTTTATGCATTTCTGAGTTTCTAAACTTTTTCTGTGGCATCTGCTTGCCTTCATGTGTCATCTGCTGCTTCTGCAAAACTCCCCCAAAATTCCTGTTTAATTTCTTATGCCAACCTGTGATATATCAAAACCACAATGGGGAAAGTTGTGATGTGGAAGGGATAACTGTAGGTCATGAAATTTCAAGGTAGAGGTTATTAAGCTTTTTTGAATTATTGACCTTTATGATTACCCTCATTTTACAGATAAAGAAATTGAGGCAGAAAGAGGTTAAGTGACTTGCCCAGCTTCACACAGCTACTGAGTGTTTGAAGCATGTTTAAACAAAGGTCTTTCTGCCTTTAAGCATAGTCCTCTATTGGCTTAGACACCTAATTCTCTTTTCAGATTAATATTCTTAAATTAACAAAATACAATAAATAAAAAGGACGACAAAGGCAACGAATTATATTGAAATAGTTCTTTAAAAAAAATAAGTTCATGAGGCAGCTAGCTAGGTGGCACAGTGGATAGAGCACTGGCCCTGGAGTCAGGAGGACTTGAGTTCGAATCTGGCCTGAGATACATAATACTTCCTAGCTGTGTGACTCTGGGTAAGTCACTTAACCCCAATTGCCTCAAACCCCACCCCTCCAAAAAAAAAAAACAAGTTCACAAACCACAGATTAAGTGGTAAAGAACTCCCATTTCAGAGAGAGATATAAACAGGTCCTTGATGTTGTCTTTTTTTCCCCTTTAAGGATAAAAAGAGAGGAGATAGGAGGAACAATTCTTCTGCTTGCTGATCTAGAAAACATTTCTTCCTTTAGGCCAATCGGAGTCAGCTCCTAAGAAGGTTCTTATCCTTGAGATGTGAGCAATCAGGATTGTAAAGATTCTAGTAGCACTTCTGTTAGGTCAAATTGCATTGAATAAACCTTGGATTTAACATAGAAAAACAATTTTCCCAAGCCTTCCTTTCACAGATAGGCTCCTGGGAACCATTAAGAATTAGACTTTCCCTTTAGCTCTTATGTTTCCCAGAACTACCAATTTCCATAAATTGTTATTAATAACAATTTCAGATGCCACAGATGGCAGTGGTAGCCCAAGAGACCAATTTTATCTACTTTCAGTTTTTGCTAATTCAACAAAGGATTTTGCAGTGTTATCAGAGACTTCCCAAACTCCATAAACCACTGTATTTACATGTAATGTTAACCTCAGTTAAACTTGTGGGGAGGTATCATTTGATCAGTTTTTACAAAATTATTGAAAATCAATTACGTATGTGTCTCTGATATTCAGAGGGAAAATACAAAATCCACCAATGTACAAGCATTAGGTACAATGTGTACAATGTGTACATGGTGCTAGCTGCTGGGGACACAGGAACAAAAATCAAACAGTCCCTGTCCTCAAGGAACTTACTTTCTGTTGAAGAAGACATGCTTATTTACAATTATATGAGGTCTCATTGTAGGGTTCCTCCATGTTAGGAGATCTGGGCACAAACTTTTCAACCCCTCTCACACAATTATATTTAAAATACATATGAAATAAATGTAAGATCATGAGAAGGTAGAGAGATACCAACAGCTGGGAGGTAGGGGTTCAGGAAAGTTTCGATGTATCAAGTATTATTTTTGCTGAGTCTGGAGGAAAACTGGGGATTCTAGGAGGTGAACATGAAGAGAGAGTGAATTACAGGAATGGGGAATCAACACAAAGACACACTGAGAGGAAGCTGGATGGAATTAAAGCGATAATGAAAAGTATGTAGAAAAGACACCCCCTCTACGGTAACTCTCTGTAGTTGGCCATTATGAAAATTGGCCAACATTGAAATAAGAGCTAACAATGGGAATTAAAATGCTCTATCCCCTGGAAGCTTAGAAAAAAAAGCAGGATATGAGTATAGCCTAAGCAACAAGTTTGGGGACATAGTCATCCTAGCATTATCATATGATTTCTTCCTTTGAAGTGAGATAATAAAGGACATGGGAGGATTTCTATATATTTGTGCTAGCCTCAGCCTATCTTTTATGGTAAACCTCAAATCTCCTGCCCATTGATTTTCTTTGCATGTGATGATGGGTCATAGGTATTCCTTGAAGAAGTGAAGAAAGGAGTTAGTAGATGGGTTTCATACATGAGTAGGCCCAAAGACTACAAGAAATATTATTTCACAGGGCATTGGGTCATCATCTATCATAACAGTATTGATGAGTATTTACAAAAATACCATGGAAATAATGGAAGTTTATGCAC